ACAAGTCTCTACAGGCAATGGTTTGAGGAGGGGAAGAACTGCAGATAAAGATAACTTGGGAAAGCTCACTAATAAAGTCTTCTGGTCTGCTCCTAGCTGTTAAGAGTCTCAGGCTGTCTTCAGTGGGTAATTTTTGTTCTCCCAGCAGGGAAGGATACATTTTGTCTGTAAACTTATGCCCTGCTTTTAAACAATACAGACAGGGCAGAAAGCTCTTCTGTACCCATTTCTTCAGCTTGACATTCCTTCATATTTGGGGGAGGCATATTCTGGTCTCCCACATTGGCAAATACTGGTGGTGTTCCTTATTTGGCAGCTGTATAATTCTAATCTCTGCCTTCATCATCAGATCACATTCTGTATCTTCACAGGCCTGTTTTCTTATGAGGACACCAGTCATATTGGATCAGGAGCCCACCCTAATGTCCTGTAACTTCAACTCAACTAATTATATCTGGAGTACCTTGTGTTCAAACAAGGTCACATTCTGTAGTGCCGTTGGGTAGAGTTTCGGTATATATCTTTTGGGAGGACATAGTTCAACCCATACCACCAGTCTTACTTGACTAGCTTTCATGTCAGGACCTCATACAGTGTAGTTCCTTTAGTTTGGAAGACTACTTCTTACTCGAAGAATTGAACAAGTCTTATATTTCCCAGGCTTTGATTGCTTTATTATTGTAGACAACTCCATTTTTCTTTGTATCATAAAGCTTCATAACCCACTTTAAGAAGAGTGGTCATTTTTTCCTTGACTCTTTGAGAGCCCCTGAGTCCAGGAGTTTTATCCAAAGCCTTAATTTTTGGATCTGGCATTTGGCTTTAAGTGTATCTTATGTCAACAGAGTTGGCATCCTGTGTTTCTTCTTTCTTCATTATTCTGAATATAAGTGTTCACCTTCTTGCAAATCTTTGCATAAAGAAATAAGTGCAACTATTTTTTGTTGAGTCAAGGACAGATTGGCCTCTTGAGGTCTTAGGAAACTTGAATGGCCATGAATTTGGGGGCAAGTTTCTTAAGGTATACTTTCATGATCTTTGAATAGAATGTGTTATGTCTACCTTACATATTTATTGTGAGGATTGAGCAAGCTAATGCAGAAAATGTGCTGAGTACTGTTTTTGGCCCATAGTAAGTAGCAGCAATTGTTCTTTCTACAAAGACCTCCTGTTATTTTCTTGCTTTATTTAGACAGTCTTGTTTTAATTTAGTTTCCATCTGGTTTCAGCTTCATTTTCCTATTGAGGGCATCTAAAGTTCAAGTTTGAGAAAAGGAAAGCAACTAATGTGTGTAAGAGATATGAATGGAAATCTGATTAAACATGATTTTAAAAAAGTTAGCTTTAGTAGAGCACTCATGTGATGTCCTATGCTAGCATTGACACTATTAGGAAATGAACTTGGCCAAGTATTGAATAATGATTTAAATGGCAAAGCATTAGATCTGCCATGAAGCAGGCAATACAGACAGCTTTGTTTGGCTGTAAAAGGCCAACATTCCTGAAACCATGAGCTCATCATCAAATTCTTCCTTCTTCCACACCCATGAAAGAATCTGTAGCATGTTTGCTCATTTTGCTTTGGTTTTCTAGGCAGCCAAGAATGAAATGAAGCAATAGTTCTCACATGTAATGTGCATCAGAATTACCTGGAGGTCTTGTTAAAACACAGTCTGAGTCTTGGCCCCATAGTTGCTGACTGAGTAAGAGTGTGAGGGATGAGATCGAGTAGAGTTCTAGGTGATTTGGATCGGGCTCATCCACAAACCTACTTTCAGAACCACTCTCACCCCAGCCCATCGATATGGTGAAGCATGGGGCATTTTAGTCATATGGAGACGGGTTTAAACTGGGGCTATTCTTGACTTCTGTTAAGCAAATAATCTCTCTGAGACTGAGCTTCTTCCACTTTTAAATGGAAATCATTAAATCTACCTCATTAAGGTCACTGTAAAAGTTAAATAAAAATATTTGTAGAGCACTTTGTATACTGACAGGCATGTATTGGAGTAAAAAGATTCCATTAATTTCTTTTACAGTAAGATTTTTATCCTTAATTTATGTAAATATTTCTGAATGACCTAGGCAATATTTCTGAATGTCACATGAATACTATAAAATACTGTTCATTTAAGGAACTGAAGCAGTTTTAAATATTTCACTAGAATTCTACTTCAGAATTCCTATGTCCTGGGCTGGGGATGTAGCTCAGTGGTAAAGCATTTGCCTGAATGAGGCCTTGAATTTGATTCCAGCACCACAAAATAAACAACTAAATAAGAAATAAAATTCCCATGTCCTTTTTCAAGTTGGGGTATGTGTAGGGTTTTTTTTTTCCTTTTAATTAAACAAATTGTTCCTCCCTATCTAACTCTTACTAGACAGTTGCATAATGGGTAAGGAATTTCATCCTCATCTAATTTTGCATGTTGGAATTGTAGCATATTTTCATTCTTAGGTGGTAGAGGGCAGACAAAAGGTCACAGCTGGAATGCTTCATGATTCATGAATAGTCAGGATGGATCCACCACAATGATATCTTCTTATATTCAGAAACAATCATTTAAATATCCATGTGGCATATAGTTTTAAATGGGAAACTTCATGAACAGATGGAATCTAGCACCTGGTCTCTAAGAGTATGACTCAGTATATTTAGCATAGGGCCTGGTAATATACATTTTTAAGTAATGCTCCAGGAAGTGTACAGACTACATGTTAAGAAACACCAGGAATGGAATAGAAGAGTCTAGATTGTATTCAAGTTCAGATTCTGCTGCTTACCTAGCTGTGTGGACTTGAGCAATTTCTCCAATCTTCTTAAATATCAAATCTGCTGTGCATGTTGTAGTTAATATATATGAAGTGCCTAGGACAGTGCTGGAGGTGTAGTGTGCAAATGCTCAATGATGATCCTTCTAGATATGCCAGACATGAAAGGTGGATGAATAAGAGAAACACACAAACTCATAGGTACATAGAACTGAAGTGAAGCCAATTGACTTCACTTATAAAATATTTATTAGCATTGGAGAAAGAAAATTCTCCAGAGATTACATTAAAGTGACTGATTTCCTATTGGTGTCTTCAGATCTGGTTCATTCACAACTAGTTTCTAATTTAATAGAATTTATTTAGATTTTAAGCTCTTTATTTTGGGTACTTTAAGATTAAGCACTGTTTGACTACATTGAAACAAATTGTTCAGTCTGCAGACTGTCATTTTCACTGTGCCAGACATTAATTTTCCATTCACTTTAATGTGACAAGATAATGTCCTTTCATGAAAATATTAAACACTTCAGAGGAGCTTAAATGAAGCCATATTAATACAAGACAACAGGACCAATATTGCTCAGTAACAGGATATGAAAATGCTATTTAAAAAGAAAATAGTATTATTCTAAAGACAGATTTTTATTCAAAGGGTTAGGGTATACCATATAAGTACATGTTTGCTTTGACTTTTCTCAACATCTCTGTGGTTGTCCTCTTTAGTCTCTTAACAGTTTTAGAATAGTTTATTCTTTTGGTAGAACAAACTGTCCCAGCTTGCAGACCTGTTTTTAATTTATATGCTTAAAATTAGTAGTGTGGTATTTTTTATTTCCATGATATTCCCTAAGATCTATGATGTCAGTGAAGCTTTTGAATTTATCAGCTACAATTGCACATCCATTGAACGAAGCGCAAAGAACAGACACTCCTAATAGGGTTTTCATTTATGGATCTTTTAGTGTAGGTTTCCCCAAGGACATTAATTAAAACATCTTGAAGCCTGTAAACCACAATTACTTCTGTGTGAGATGCAATGAAGAGCTTTGAATTATCATTTGAAAAGAAAGTAGATGTAGGAGATTCCATCTTTCTTTTGTTTTTATGCCATTGCCACTTTAAAGCAAATATACTTCAGAGTCACAAGGACTGACAAGATTCCATTGCTCTAAAAAAGCAGTGTTTTATATTTGTAATTTCTTACACAAGCAAAAAAGAGGCTTCACAATACATGTATTAGACATTAAGTTACCTGCAAGTCTAGGAAGAAGGGACTCTTGAACCATGCCTGAAGTGGTAGGGAGGTATGCAAGTTCTGGGTCTTTACATATCTCCTATATGCATATGGCTACTTGTAGGATCATGGTTCAAAGCCAGCCTGGGTGAAAAAAAGTTCATGAGACTCCATCTTAACAGGAAATAATCTGGACATGGTGGCACACATCTGTCATCACAGCTACAGCAGGAAGCACAAATAGGAGGATCACCATCTAGGCCAGCCTTGGCAAAAAGCGAAAGCCTATCTCGAAAAATAACCAGAGCACACAGGACTGCAGGCATGGTTGAAGCAGTAGAGCACATGCCTGGCAAGTGTGAAGCCCTGAGTTCAAACCCCACAACTGCCAAAAAAAAGAAAGAATGTGCATGTGTACAGGCCATCCTTTCAGTCCTTCAGCCCACCCAGCATAGTAAGCAGCTGTTTCAATGTCCACTCCAGTTTTCAGTCAAGCTACTACTTTATGTATAGTAAGGTATGTGAAAGATACTGTATCTTTGCTCACTGTGGCACTGCTTGTGCAGAAAAATGGGTTTCTTCTTCAAATGAAATGCAAACACAAGGTCCAAATGGAAATGATAGGCTGTACTCTGTGCCACTAAAAATGTTAATAAGCATTTGCTCTAGGTACTTAATATGCAAATCCAGTTCCATCAGATTCCACCCAAAACTGTGGGTAGTGTGTCAGTGTAACACATCTGGTAGGGACCCATTGGGAATGCTGCCTGTGGTTGTGTTCAGTCTCTTATATTCCTTTGACAAACTGAGCAATTATCAGTCACATTTTGAGCCTTAGAAGGCAGTGAAGTTTTAAAACATAAGCAGTTTTTCGTAATTTCAATAATTGACCACACAAAATAAATGTGTAAGAGATAAAAAGAATATGCATGTATAATATAAATAATGATATCATTTTGAACTAATGAGACTTTCAATTATTTCTTCCTAGGTTGGACACCGAGGAACAATAAGAGATTATCCCGGCTTTAGCCCATCTGCAGATGCTGAAGCTTTTCGTAAGGCAATCAGAGGAATTGGTGAGTGATGCTTTGCAATTCCTTTCTTAAGTTAAAGACAAGTCATCATCTGAAAGAGCCCAGAGTCAGTTTGCCCATGTTGTTTACTCAACTAGAGATAGAAGTGTGAAACAACAAGAGAAAGTATAAGGAACCTGTGGGGAGTGGATTATGAGAAGCCTATGAGAACTTGACATAAGCACAGTTGTGCTCAATGATCTATAGACCGAGTCTGGCATGGCCCCAGCTACAGAGGAGGGCAAAGGCAAAATGCAGCAGGCTGCTTTTCCTAAGTTGTTTACATTCAGAGAAGTAGAGAGCAGGTTTCTCTTGTTACAATGTCACGCCCCTCCCCGAGAACTGTTGCTCCACCTCCTTGTTTACCACTGTATACAGAAGACTCACTGAAGGAGGATTGATGGGATTGGAAAGGTTTGATGGGTTTGGATTGGTGGGCTGCTTGCGAGAATGACATGCTGCTGCTGCTGCTGCTGCTGCTGGGTGTTGTGTGTCTGTGAGTCTGAGGACCAAGACTTTAAAGGGAACATGGGACAGAGCGAGTCAAAGGAAAGAGACTTTAAAGAATAGAAAAGAAAAAAGACTTTAGAAGTAAGATTTTAAAGAAAAGAAAAAGAAGCAAAGTAAAAGAAAAGAATAATAGAGAAAAGAAATAATGAGGCTGTTGTGCGTCTCCATCCAAGTGCCCAACACACCTGACCCCAACTTTCTGATGTTTGTCTATATTTTGTCCTTTCTGCATCTCCAGATGCCCCTAGTTAGCTCAGTAGAGCAGGAGCGCAAGAAAGCTCACTTCAGGAACCCAGTTTTATTAAGTGGAGCATTTATCATATTTACTTAATATTAAAAACTACCACTACCATTGATGTTGCCACAAATCATCACCACCACCATCATCATAAATAAAAATTTAATCCCCGTTAATTCTTTCTACATTCAACTCCTACCAATTGCCTAGAGAAAATCACCATCCTAAGTTACACATTTATTCTCATGAAACCGTCAATACCAGAACTACACATATATGTACAAATTGTTTTACCCTGGTCTCAACTAATAACAACTGAAATTGTACTCAGTATATTCTTCTGCCATTTGTTTTTAGCCCTTAACATAATGTGTTTGAGATTTATCCATGTTGATATATTTAGCTCTAGTTCACTAATTTTAACTACATGGTTATCTATTGCATGCCATATCATAAAATGGGAACATTGATAGAACATGTACATTGCCTACAATTCTTTTCCATTGCAGTATAAAAACACTCCAATGAATATTCCTGCTTATGTTTCATTGTGAACATTTGCTAGCATTTCTTTAGAATGACAAAAATTGGAGTTTCCAAGTAGAAGGGGAGTCTTGTTTTCAAATGAGCTAGAATTTTTGTCAAACTGCTCTCCAAAATAAATATAGAAATTAGCATTCCTTCCAGCAATTTATAAGACTTCCACTTGCTTCATGTTCTCCCTGGTACTTGCCACAGTAATACTAGTCAATTTTTCCAACTGACTATATACTTACCCTTCTAAAGATAGGAGGCTGTTCTGATTATCTAGATGAAATAGGACAAGGGTACAGTGACAGAAGGACACACAGAGTAGAGGACAAATTCAAGAGATGTATATGATTGCTACAGTGTAAGGAATAAGGAAAGAAAGGAATGTAGAATGATTCCCAGGATTCTGAGTAGAACGAGCGTATCCACAGTCCTGTCATTGGTGAGGGAACACAGAATGAAAGACAAGTTAGAGAGAAACATGGTGACTTCCAGCTGGAGCATGCTGAGTTTGCACTTGGAGGTGTCTTGTTGTATACTGACACAGATGCTGTTATAGGTCCAAGTTGTAATCAGACTCACAGATAACAAATAGACTTTAATTCTGTTAACTGTATAGAAAAATACAAGACTGAAGGTACAGCAGGGCAGCATTAGCCATTGTGAATCCCAGCAGATAACCAAGTACATTTACCCCAAGTTCATTTGCCCCATCTTTGATGTAGGCTGTATACCACTGCCATGGACAGGTGTAGAGAAGAGTTGTGTGAGTCACCTCAATCCAGAGAAATGGCATCTCAAGTTCCAGTTGACTTTCTACCATTCTAGTCATGCATGCCAAAGGCCTGCAAGCTGCCTCACAGTTTCCCGACTCAGCTGTAATCTTTTCCAGCAAATGAAGTGGACCCAGTCTCTCACAGTGATCTCAACACTAATTTCCAAGCATTAGTGGCTTTGAGGTCATTCTCAGGCAGGCCAGCCTCAGCCCTCACTCTGTTACCCTTTATTTACAGACAGTTGATTAGGTATATGGGTACAAAATGCTTGAAAGAGGTGTGGACCAGATATAGAAATATATTTTTGAGGGTCAAAGATTTGGATCTAAAAATCTTGCTGCACAACTTAGAAGTTGTTTGACTTTGGTAAGTGAGATAAGCTCTCAAGGGTTAATATCTTCATATTTAGGAATGTTCAGTCCTTTCTACTGCAGTGACCCCCATGACTATCAACTATGACAAGGGCCTATTACATGATAGCTTCTTAGTAAATGTCAACTCCTGTTCTCTAGAAGAGAAAATATTTGGATGTCCAGAATGAGGATAAGAGCTAAGAGGCAGTAAGACATACCCAGAACCTCACAAGGTGAAGAAAAAGGTCTTGGTGCTCCTCCCTCTGTATGATCTACAGAAAGGAGTAGGCAACAAATGACAATGGTTCTTCTCTTCTCCCCAAACTATCTAAGTAAAGTTACCTTCCTTTTCCAAAAGCCAGGCAAACAAAGAAAAGAAGAAAGATTTTAACCTGGTAAGAAGCTGGAAATTAAAAATTAAAATGCCTTACTCTCTGCCTTGATTATTGTCCTTTTGTTCAAGACAGATATAGACTATCTTTGGGTTGATAGTGAGTAAACTAATTTTTGTTTCATTTAGGAACTGATGAGAAAACACTCATCAGCATTCTGACGAGAGATCAAATGCACAGCGGCAGCTGATTGTCAAGGAATATCAAGCAGCATATGAAAAGGTAGGATTTGGTCACCCTGGTGGATGGTATGGAGATAATCGTGACTGTGCCATGATTGCTTCTGCAAGATTGTGCCCTCAAATCTTTACTTTCAGTTCAACTGAGACAGAAGATGTCCTGTGTCAAACCTGGAATCTGAGTCCTGCTTTTGCCTTTAACTGGCTGCTTTTTGTCTGATTTGGATACTTATGATAGTCTTTCAACAGGTGACTTTAGCAAAAGAGAAAGGTATCTCACAATTCTTCCTTGGGGGTTTTATTTTAGGAGCTGAAAGATGACTTGAAGGGTGATCTCTCTGGCCACTTTAAGCATGTCATGATGGCTCTTGTGACTCCACCAGCTGTGTTTGATGCGAAGCAGCTGAAGAAATCCATGAAGGTATGAATCCTACACAAGCTGATCCTGCCCTGGATGTGACTATGTCATCAAAAATAGGGAACCGTCCTTGAGCACAGCTTGGGACACGCTTGGGACTATTTTGGTTGTGTTTTTTGGGTAGTCGGGTAGTAGATGGTCTTTGAGCCCTGATATTCCTGGGCTGAGAGAATATTAACACATTCTTATTTTGTTTGCTGTTTAACATGATTCATTTCTCTGTTTTGTCGTCATTGGAAAATAGCGCCATCATCAACCCCATTGCTTAAGCCAAAGCCTCATTTTTTTATCTTTGTCCTGTGCTTTCCCTTACCCTTCAAAGCTCCCAGATCTATCAGAAAGTCATTAGCTTTACTCCAAAACCCACTGCTACCATTCTACTATGACCACCATCATCTCTTGATGGCTCATATCAATATCCTAATGGGACCCTTTGCCTCCATTTCTATCTGTTCTGATTCACTTCTCTATGGAATTAGCCAACTTTCTTTTTATGAAGTTATTTTTGAAGTGAAATTCTTCTACTCACCTGCATGAACCTCTAACAGCTATGAACACTTAAAATTTAAACTCCTTTGTATGATCTTCCTCTCTCAGCACAGTCTGACTCCTGTCTATCTCTGAGACTTAGAAAACTTCCCTCTCTGTCAGCCAACATTCCCCTGGAAGCAGAGCCATTAGGCAGGACATAGAAGAGATTTATTATGAGGAATGGGATATGGGAATATGGGGTTGGGTGGGCAAGTCCAAACTCGTAGGGCAGGTGGTCAGGAAAGGAAGACTGGACCCTCCCTCAGTATGTGTTGAGCTGCCCACAGGCAGAATCTCTTCTGTAGAGAAGCCTCTGTAGATTGAGTCAAGCCCACTCAGAATGGTATCTTTCACTTATAATCAATTGATAAAAAGACTTTATATCCACAAAATGTCTTACAGAAGTACTTAGGGTCATGTTTGACTGAATAACTTGGAACTGTTGCCTGACCAAGTTGACACATAAAACTGACCATCACAGCTTGACACAGCTATCTGGCCTTCTGCTGCTTCTTGAATGTTATATACTTATTCCTATCTTTATAACTGATGTCCCTTCCATCTGTAGTACTTCTTCTCCAGTCATTTTGTGGTACTTAGGTACAATAGCTAAAGCTGAGTTAGCTCAGCTTTACTATAATTATTATTATTTTACTTTTATTTGCATGTATTTTATGCTAGATTTATTCCCAGGCCATAAGTTTTTGTTTCTTCTGGGATGTCTTTTTCTTCTGTGCAACCTCTTCCGGTTTGGGAACATTTTGTTCCTTTTCAGTAAGGATCATGTCAATATAGCAGGATGACTCCTGTACAGGTTTCTCTGACGATGAGTTCTGTAAGTGTGGTGGTGCATCTTGGGTTCTCTGTGCACCTGGATGTCTTCCATGGCCAGAAAAATTTGCATCTGAACCCTTAAGCTCAGCACTACTTGATGAATTTTTAAGCATGTGCAGCAAAACTTTTAACAACTCTTAGTGGGCCACTCACCTTGTGTCCATCCCTAGTATTTGGTCTATGCACACCTACCAGCCTTACCTTTATAACAACAGAATGGCATACATTGTTTAATGAAACTTAACTTCTTTAAAGTGACATACTTGGTGGCTTTTTGCATATATGTATACTCTTAAGGGCTTGTGCAGTTTCACAGGTATTATTAAAGCGAATATGAAGATTTGAACGTTTTGATTTGCATGATTCTGTGGGGTTTTTGAGTCAAGTGACTAGTGAACCATTTTCATAGACCACCTCAGGTCACTTAAAGGAAGAGTCAGGATTTTGTTCTCTGGTTTTGTTTTGTGATTGTGGTGGTGGTACTAGGAATCAAACCCAGGACCTCATGAATGGTGGCCAAACACTCTGCCTTTGAACTATCTCCCAACCTCAGTTGTTTTTGTTTTTTTTTAATTTTGCTGATTGGCATCTAAAATTGTCTTGTCTCTTTCTTCTTTTTTTTTTTTCATTTTTTGTACATTTGTGTCTTTTCTTTCTTTATTTTTATTTTTCATCTAACTAAAAGGCAAGCCTCTATCATGAGAGGGAACCTTTTGGTTTTAGACTGTATCTTCTCATCTTAGAGCAGAATGTAAAATGAAGTAGGTGCTTAATATATTTCTTGAGAGGAAGGAGGAAAAAGAGGGATCCAGGCTTAACATCAGATTTTGGTGTCAGTTTAATCCAGATGACTCATGTTATTTTAATACTAAAATGCATGGAAAATTAGAAAACTACTGAGAGCAATATGAGGTCTTACATTGATTTATTCGACTGTTCTTTCATCTGTATAAAATAAGATATTAAGACTAAAAGGCATGAACTTAAGTTTTTTTAAGAGTTCCAAAAATTATATTTCCTCTGCTTTTTTAGGGCACTGGAACAGATGAAGATGCTTTGATTGAAATCTTAACTACCAGGACAAGTAGACAAATAAAAGAGATCTCTCAAGCTTATTACACAGGTAATCCTGTTTTCTGTTTACCTTTAGTACTGTTCACACATATATGAGCCAAGATGCCTTTCCCAGCATCCCACTCATCCCTTTGTAAGGCATTTTGAGAAGACAAGACTTAGTGAAAGGAAGATACATTCTAAGATGAGCCATGGATTTTCAGAGAGAATTGGAACATGATCAGAGCCAGAAACTACTGCCTAACAATGACATTAACATTTTGCATTATTATATTATAGCTACAGTGGATTTTGCTCTCAGCAGTCACTTAATTGAATAAACCATTTTCATCAATATGAGAGACTCAAATCATTGTATTACTGTTATTATTTGTTAAAAACCATTCAGATTACACTCGTGATTTTTGGTGTGAGAAATCAGATAAGCCATTTAGAGGATGCGGATTCAATATACTTAGCAAAAGTCCTAAAGGTCTGTTAACTATGTAAAAATTAGAAAGTCCTGACAATGCAATTCTGACTCTACCCAGAGTGTGTGAGTTCACAGGTTAAGTTACAGACCCCACAGGACTGCCTTCACTTTAGCCAGAAGCCCACAAGCTCACATGTTCCCAGGCCACAATCATGTCTGACCAACCAACTGGCTGTAGATCCAGGGTTCTCACTGCCCTCTCAGATTCAATGGCTCACTGGAATGATTCACAGAACTCAAGAAAGTGCTGTGCTTACAATTTCAGTTTTACTGTAAAGGCTATAAATCAGGTCAACCACATGAAGAGACACAAAGATAGAGATCTGAGAGGGTTCCATGTGGAACGTCCTCCCTCCTGACACATGGATGGGTAATTATCAGCCAGCAAGCTCACTTGATCATTAATAGCCATAGTTTTTGTTGTGGTTTTGTTATGTAGGCATGATTGGTTGAATCAATGTCAATGTGATTGAGCTCAGTCTGCAGCCCCTCCTTTCCCCAGAGATCAGACTGATGTCATGTGGATCAAAGCCTCAACCTTCTAATCACGTGCTTGGTTTTTCTGATGTGATTACTTTTTATTCTTAGTCATGTAGTTAGCATAAACTCAGGGGACAATGTGAATGAATAACAATTTTTCAATTACATGGGAAATTCCAAGGATTTGGAAGTTACCTCTCAGGAACCAGAGACAAAGATCAGCTTGATTCTTCAATATACAATAACCCTCTAGAGCTCTCTCCAAGTAACTTAAGGGAGCCATGTCTTTTTTAAATTCATGTTTCCAAGGACTCAGTTTCACTAGAAATTAGTGGTACACAAGAATATTAAGAATGCAATAGTCTCAACTACTTAGAGTGAAGCTTTCCCTAGAGACCCTGTTGTCTGTTCACTGCCTCAGCATCAGGCATCCATTGCTCCCTGTGCTGTCTTCCATTACAGTAACTCGTTCCTCACTGTTTGCTTCTGATTCTCTTTCCTTACTAAATGCTGATTGTCTACCCAAGGCTTATATTTGTCCATGGTATTTGTTCTTCTTCGTTTCTGTTTTCTGCCTTTCTTTCTAGGAATCCTTTGCTTCTTTGTTCTATTGTATTTGCTTCTTTTTCTGTGTAGTTCACTCTCTGAGAGAGAAGATTCAATGGGTTCAAGAAGTAATTAACTAATAGCCTTATTTTGGGCAAAGATCACCTCTTAGCAGCTGGCCACTACATACCGGTGTCAACAGTTTGCAGTCTTGTGTAAGAGTGGTGACATCATAAAATGTGAAATGGTGACCCTTGCATAAGAATCCATCAAAAGAGGCTACCAATTTGGCCCTCATAAAAGAGACCAACTAGTGTCTTGTGTGGCTTCTCTGCACAATGATGCAATAGAGTAAATAAATAGAGAAGTAGTAGAGAGCTTTTTCTAGTACTCCAGAGTTAATGTTGTATGAAAGCACACTGAATCAGGGATCAAGGAACTTCAGGTACCTACAGTGTTAACAATAGTGTATTTCTTTTTCTATACTGTATTATGCCTCTTAATGCATAAAGTAATTTCAAGCTGGGATTTAAATAACTTCCTTTTATTATTGTCATTATTAATACTTACTAATTGTATACATTAACAGATTTCACAGACATTTTCACGTATGCATCTATCATGCATTGATCATGTCTACCTCCCTTCTACCCTCTTCATATCCATTTTAATAGTCTAATTTTTTGCAAATTACCCGGGGAGGCTGCAGAAGATGACTCAAGTCTCATCTAGATAATTCTAAAATCACAAAATACATCCCTAAATTCTAAAACAGGGGAGCTTCATTCTTTGATGTTTTTAAATTAAATTTTTTTCTAACTACAGTGAAAGATAGATGCAACAATATTATGACTATTAAGAATAATGGTGCCTGCTAAAGTATCATTAAGATAAATAATTTGTATTTGTAGTAAATTTTATTTATATGAATTGCTTTGAAAAATTACAGATTTCATTAAAAAGACTTACTAAAATTGTGATGAGGAAATTTCCATTTCAATGCAATTCTTGTTTTCTCTAATATAATCTTAAAATTATATTAGATAATCTCATTCTATAATTGTCTTTCATTCGTTTAAAAGGATGTGCATTCACAGGCAAAAATGCAAGACCCTACCTGAAAAATAACTAAAGTAAAAAAGGACTGGGGGTGTGATTCGGGTAGTGGAGCACCTGCCTAGCAAGTGCAAGGCCCTAAGTTCAAACCCCCAGTACTTCCAAGATAAAATAAAAGGATGAGTGTTCATATGGGATTTTATAGAAAGTTCTTGACAATGATGCAGACAGAGTTCAAATTGGCACCTGATGTCACCTATATTCAGATATACGGTGGCTGCAAAGGGATTACTGCTCAACAGATGGAGTAAAACAGGGATTTAAAAGTGATAGACAGATCCCAGGGGTGTAACTTAGCTCCGTGGTAGAGCTCTTGGCATGCACAAGGCCCTGGGTTCTACCCCCTGGCACTGCAATAAAATAAATAAAGTAAAATAAAATAAAAAGGTGGGTACCACAATAACTATGAACACATAGTTGGCATTAGTTAAGGAAAAATAGTAAATCTTGGGATGTTTTTCTTATTCTTGAGCAATATCAAATAATATACTTTAGGTGTATTTGTTTAGATTAAGGTTGGATTCAATAAAATAGAAAAATAATAGTGGCTTACAGAAGATAGACGTTTATTTCTATTACATGTAGAAGAAGTCTGGAGTTTGGTAATTTTAAAACTGTTATGATAGCTCCTCAAAACTTTCAGGAACCCAGACCCCTTCCTGGTCACTTTTTTGCCATTGCTAAGATATATTCCTTATTTTCACAGTACAAGATGGCTGCCCAAGTTGCAGGTATCAGTTCACACACAAGGCAGCAGAATCAAGGAAGGACTAAGCCCGTCCCTTTAGGGAGATTTCCTAGCAAAGTCTTGCATGTCTGTCTACACTTCATTGTGAAGACCTCAATTATAGAACTGTCTGAGGACATAGTTTTTAGGTTGTTTGCATTATGTTTTGCTAAAGGTTAGGGTTGTATTAATATGAAAGAAGGTAATGGAAATTGGAAGGCAGACTAGCAGGTTGCCTGCCCTGAATGTATGTTTCTTAGAGCCACTGTCAGATGAAATGAACCATGATTTGATCCAAAATGGCTATTCTTCCTGTTCTGCTTCATCTGCCACAACACACAGCACAGAAATCTTTACAAGGAGAATATTTCCATCTGACAATAGTTGAGCACCGGAACTTAAATGAGAAGCAAGATCTATTTATCACATTTCTTGCCAGTGTTGGCATTTATACTTTTCTCTGTTTTATAATAATGTGTTTTAGTTTGTAAGACATAATTTCATTGTCATTTATTTTCAGTATATAAGAAGAGCCTTGGAGATGATATTAGTTCTGAAACATCTGGTGACTTCCGGAAAGCTCTGCTGACTTTGGCAGATGTAAGTTTTTATTTATTTTTTAACTCCCACATAAGCTGCATGCTTACTAATAATTTTTAGGAAGTTTTAAAAAATCCAACTGGAGGCAGCGAGACTGCAATTTTCCTTATGAAATGATTTGTTCATGTTAAATTGCATGTCACCATCAGTAAAATGTTTAACCAAGATCATAAAAGAATACATAGTAATGTAACAAAAGGCGTGTCTTTGGTTAGTTTATAGATTAAAGATGTTTTGATTAGGTTTTACAATACATTAGAAAATGTTCTGATAAATCATCTGACATAATTATTCATTCATTTCCATTACAAGTGTCTCCATTTTTAGGACGCATTTATTTTCTTCTGGACTCCAAAGAATATTCATTTCTTTTCAACTAAGTGGGAAGTATGATTCAGAAGAATTCTCCTGAGAGATGAGTGTTAGATTTCAGAAATGAGTATCAGTTTTAAGATTACAAAAAAAAAAAAAAAAGACTTATAACCTCATGCTTGTCACCTTGGAAAAGCTGCTAAAAATCATTACTCACTTTGGACCAAATGTGTCCACTCTTTGCTTGATTTACTTAGAAGACTCGTGATTTCAATAGTGAAGGAGGAAGATCAAGGATGAGATGTATTCAGATATGTGCAAGAGAGGAAGTGAATTATTCTGTATCTCACTGACTTCTTTCAGCTGATTTAGCTCCTAATGTGTGAAAAAATTCCAATACAGTCTCAGCCTGCTGGTTGAAACAGCACTTGTCAAAGTGAGGCATTCATTATGTCATGAGGAAATAATTTATCATCATTATGGCTTCAGTTGTTTTAAATGCTGAAAACCCACAAACCCAAATTTATGCAGTACTGCAGCAAACATGCTCTCAGAGGTATATAGCCATAGCGCTGCACATCCGGGTGCATGGACGTGAGCTCACATACCCATAGGAGGCAGTATAGAGCAGGGCTCTAGGGCAGGGTTTTATTTTTTATTTTATTATTCATATGTGCATACAAGGCTTGGGTCATTTCTCCCCCCTGCCCCCACCCCCTCCCTTACCACCCACTCCGCCCCCTCCCTCTCCCCCCACCCCCTCAATACCCAGCAGAAACTATTTTGCCCTTATTTCTAATTTTGTTGTAGAGAGAGTATAAGCAATAATAGGAAGGAACAAGGGTTTTTGCTGGTTGAGGTAAGGATAGCTATACAGGGCATTGACTCACATTGATTTCCTGTGCGTGGGTATTACCTTCTAGGTTAATTCTTTTTGATCTCACCTTTTCTCTAGTTCCTGGTCCCCTTTTCCTATTGGTCTCAGTTGCTTTTAAGGTTTCTCTGTGTTAAGGGCAACAAATGCTAGCTAATGTTTTAGGTGTCTTACCAATCCTCACCCCTCCCTTGTGTGCTCTCACTTTTATCATGTGCTCAAAGTCCAATCCTCTTGTTGTGTTTGCCCTTGATCTAATGTCCACATATGAGGGAGAACATACGATATTTGGTCATTTGGGCCAGGCTAACCTCACTCAGAATGATGTTCTCCAATTCCATCCATTTACCAGCGAATGATAACATTTCATTCTTCTTCATGGCTGCATAGAATTCCATTGTATATAGATACCACATTTTCTTAATCCATTCGTCAGTGGTGGGGCATCTTGGCTGTTTCCATAACTTGGCTATTGTGAATAGTGCCGCAATAAACATGGATGTGCAGGTTAGGGCAGGGTTTTAGATTCAGATAGAACTGGACTCTTATGCTGCTTAGTAGCTTTCTGTATCTCAACAAGTTTAGCCCTTAAAACATTCATTTTCACATCTGTGAATTCAAAATACTGATAACACCAACCGTTTAAGGTGTTGTGAAGATTAATATGTGAACTACTTAGCTCATAGAAAGTGATCCATACATGGTGGTGGTGAGTCACTATTACTAAGACTACTGGCAGTCAATAATTGCATTATTGGAGCAGAGTGCACAATGGGAGAGAATGCAAAGAAGGCAAACTATCAGTGGCAGAGGTCAGCAGTCTGAGAAAGAAAACAGGCAAAAGTCAGACAGGCATACAAAGACCTGCAAAAAGAAAATTCATTTTAAAATGTTATTGAAAAATGTTTTGTTCACCTATAATTTTCAGAATAATTCAGGCAAACCAGTTTTCCTTTTCTATCTTACATCTTTCTATAATGTCCTGAAGTATTTGTTCATACATGAACACTTAACTTCAGAGTTCTCAAATGCCCTTCTCACTTCTCCCCTATTAATAATATCTTGGGATAATGTGGTACATTTGTTGCAGTTGCTGAATGAATATTGATATACTATCATTAATTGATATAGCTTGCATTAGGGTTCAGTTTTTTGCTACATCGTTCTATGAGTTTTGACAAATGTATAGCCATCACATGTCCACCATTACGGTATCATACAGAAGCTTCACTTCTCTAAGAGTTCTCTGTGCTCTGTTTATATCCCCCACCCCTCATCTCTGCAACCACTGACTTTTTATGGTCTGTATAGTTTTGCCTTTTCTAGATTGTCCTATAGTTAGAATCATATACTATGTAGCCCTTTCAGACTGATTTCTTTCATTTAGCTATGTGTCTTTAAGGTTTCTCTATGTGCTTCAGAGCTAGACGGTTCTAATCACTGAATAATATTCCACTGTATGGAATACTTGTTTCACTAGTTGAAGGTATCTTGGTTGCTTCCAAGTTTGGGCAATTATGAGTAAGACTTCTATTAAATATTCACTGGCAAATTTTTGTGTGGACATGTTTCCAACTCATTTGGGAAAATATCAAGGAGCACAATTGCTGGATCTACTGTAAGAATATATTTAGTATTGTAAGAAACTGCTGAACTGTCTTCCAAAGTGGTTATACCATTTTATATTCCCACTAACAATCAAGATGAGAGTTCTCAATGTTACACATTCTTACCAGTATTTAGTATTGTCAGTGTTCCTATTTTGTTTTTTGTTTGTTTTGCTTTGCTTTTTTAGTGCTGGGAATTGAACCCACGGCCTGCACATACTAGGCAAATGGTCTACCACTGAGCTACATTTTAGCCCATGTGTTGTCAATGTTTTAGAGTTTAGTCATTCTAATAGATGTACAGTGGTATCTTATTCTAATGAAATATGATGTTAAGCATCTTTTCATGTGATCTCTTGCCATCTTTACATCTTCTTGGTGAGGTGGCTGTTCACATCTTTTACTCAGTTTTTAATTCATTTGCTTATTATTTTCTTACTGAGTTTTGAGAATTCCTGGTAGGTTTTGTTTGTAAGTCCTAATATATTTTATAAATATTTTCTCAGTCTGTGACTTGTCTTTTCATCTTCTTAACACCTTTTGGTTTTCAGTAGAGACTGAGACTCCAAAGATCAGGTGATTCACTACAAATTTCTTGAGCCATCAATGGCAGAGCCGACTGGAGGCCAAAGTACCTGGTTCCTCTATCCTATATAACCTCCACTGGAGAAAAATCACTAAGAGTTTTGGTTGAAGTGCTGAGTATTCCTCAAAGGATTGACCTTGTTGTTATCACCTCTGTTTAGGGTAGAAGAGATGAAAGTCTGAAGGTAGATGAACATCTGGCCAAAAAAGATGCCCAGGTCAGTAACTGAGCAAAGAAAATCTCTCTTGTAACTATCCTCCCCCTCAATGACCTTTGCATTTCTGTGAAAATGGAGCAAGATGGTATCACTTGTCCTCTCCTTTCCATCTGAGGGTTTCCCAGCCCCAGCCTCAGCCTCCTCCAGGGGAGATCATTCCCTGGCTCCTGCCATCCCAACCTTCAGATTTCCAGTCTGCTACAAATGAGAGATGTAGATAACAGATGATCTCACTGACCTCTAAAATAAAATAAAGCACCCATTCTTCTCATTCCACCCCCTCAAAAAGAGAAAGAATTGTGTCTGAAATAACACATCAGTCTTCTTCCTCTCGTCAATAGATTCTCTATAATGCTGGTGAGAACAAATGGGGAACGGATGAAGATAAATTCACTGAAATTCTGTGTTTAAGGAGCTTCCTCAACTGAAACTAAGTATGGACTTCCAATCCATTTTGTTTTATGTTGTTTGGGGGTTTCATATACAGGGTTCAGGGAAATGGAGTTAGAAATTGTAAAGTCTATTCCAGTTTATGCATAAACACTTTGGGAAACAAAATGGGGAGGCCTCATTCTAACCCAAGGCAGTACTGACAATCCTCTTTTGTTTTCCCAAAGACTCAATAGATTTCCTAGTGAATGACAGGTAATAGGTGGGGAGGAAGACAGCAAGGAGAAGGAAAGAGGCAGTTCTGTCAGGAGAGAGAAGAAAGGCCTGTTCCTATGAGATGCAGGAACCTGGCCATACTGCTTTTTCCACACTTCCCCTTATTAGCCACTTTCCAGAAAAGCCAGGATTTGCAGGTGACTTTTTGTTGATTGGTTAATGCTGACTAACAAACAGTCAGCTTTTTGTGACAGGACAGTAAATGGGGGTCAGGGGAATTAGAAGGACAGGCTCCTTTTGTCAGACCAAGAATCACGTGGAACTGCTAATTACCCACCCTGTCACTCACGCCTCCCCCTGAGTTATTCTGGAAGACACAGCATCCAAAAGCCTGGAACTTCTCTCACTGTGATTACCAGATGCTGGTTTAGAGAACAACCACAGTGCTGAGTGGATAGAAAAATAGGGAAAAGAAGCAGATTATCATGACTTTTTAATTCTGAAGTTGTCCTTCCTTAATTTTGGCATTAATTGAGTTTATAAAATAATAATAATATATGATAGTTGCTTTAACAATGGTCTTTGTTTGAAAAGCAAAAATCAAATGGCCCCCACATTTTCTTTTTTTTTCAAAATTTACTTAGAAAAAAATGTACTTACTTTCTTGGTGCCATAAGACAGATTTTACTTGGGGCAAATACTGATCAAGCATTCAGAAATGCCTTCTAGTAGGTGTGAAGTAAGCCATGCTGCCTTCAGGAATGATTCCAGGGGCATAAAGAAATCCTCATAATTAGCCGGCACCAGTGACTCACACCTATAATCCTAGCTACTCAGGAAGCAGAGATCAGGAGGATTGCGGTTTGAAGCCAGCCTGAGCAAATAGTTTTTGAGACCCAATCTTGAGAATACCAAACCCAAAAAAGGTCTGGTGGAGTGGCTCAAGCAGTAGAGCACCTGCCTAGCAAGTGTGAGGCCCTGAGTTCAAACCCCAGTATCACTACCACCACCACCACCACCAAAAAAAAAAAAAAAAGTAATAATCCTCATAATTAAGATTTCTTTAGCAAATGAAATATATTTAACTAATGACCACAATATTGTTTTCTAGGTACTGCTAGAATTTTTAAAACAGACCACCTTACTAGATAAATTATTTATCACTTAAGCTTTCAGGCTATTTTAAATGCTTCAGCCTGGGAGGAAGAGAGACAGACCATTGAAGAAAATGGCTTATGAAGTTCGGGTTTTATTGAGCTTAAGTTTTAATGGTTTAAAGGAGCTTTGGAGTTTGCTTTTTGATCTGTTGGACCTCAAAAAAAAAAAAACCTTGAAATATATTCAAGTGTGGTCAACTGGGATGCTTTAAATATTTTTTGTGATGCTACTTTTTAGCATTTGATGAATACAGAAATATTAGCCAGAAGGACATCGAGGACAGCATTAAAGGAGAGTTGTCTGGGCATTTTGAAGACTTATTGCTGGCCATAGGTAAGTTCTTAAGCACTAATAAGCAATTGCTTTGCACTTCTTTTAATTCAATGTCAAGGCAGCTCCTTTTAAGTAAGAATCCTGACTGATCTTTACCTTTCTGCACCCTACAGCCCCCAGCACAGTCCACAGTACAAATAGTTGCCTTGACAAATATTGTTAAATGATGCATGAAGAAGTTATCTTTCTACCTCTTTCTTTGCCTTTTAAATTTGTATTTGGCTTGTCACCATGTTTAGATTGTAGACTCCTTAGGAGCTGAAATATTACATTTTACTGGCATTTTTTATTGAGCCTTATTGAAATCTGAGACCTAAGCCAATCTGATATTTTATCATATTTGGTTATTTCTGGAAGGTGTCAGTGGCTTCCCAAAGTGAACCAAGCTCTGAGCTACAGGACTATTCTTCCTTGGTTGAGTGAGCAGGGGGCATGTCAAAAAGAAAGTAAGTTTCAGGCTGAATCCATTCCCATACAACATGTACATTAACAAGCAGTCAAAAACAGTTATACAGACAGTGAGGGCTCCGCAGTCTGTCTTTTTAGGTACTAGGAGAGCACTCTGTAAGAAAGATGAATTCAAATGGATGAGACAGAATTCTTGACCTTTCTAGTCAACAGCCAGGCAACAAAGTCTGTTAAGTGCTTGCCCAGACTCAGCAATGTTAAGAATCTTAACAGTTATTTCAATTTAGGGTAGCCATTGGGCCTCCTGCAGGCTTCTCCTCCACTGGTGCCGAGGTGGGGCTATCTGGACTCCGTACACCTTGTCATCTCACTAGTGGGAAGCCATTTCTAACATCCATTACAATCATCTGTAGCATCTCTAGTGAAGTCAAGATAGCTGATACCTTAGGATAACTACCTCTAGAGTAGAGCCTCCAATTCCACCTCTGGAAGGTGAACTCCCAATTCAGATACCTTGAATTTTATTTTAAAATAGCTTACCATGTGCTGGGCACTGAACTGCACTCTTTACAATACTAACTTGCTTAAGACTCATAACAATCTCCATGAAACAGCTATTATCATCATCCCTCCCCTTGGTAGAAATGGTAAACTTGAGGCACAGAGACATTCGAGTGACTTCCCCAGTTACCCAGGGAGTATATGGCAGAGCTGATCTGCTCCTCCTGCAGGCAGGTGCCATAGTCTGTAATTTTAAACAACCACTCTGAAGGGCTGTGGTGTAGACACAGACTGAAACACAGTCTATGCTAAAGTATTTCAAAGTGAATGGCAGAAAATGTACCAGGGAACAAAGTTCCAGGCCTATTCTAAGGGCTTCCTTAGCCCTCAGAATATGTCACTACTGACCCTGTGTTCAGTGCCAAGAACAGGACTCTATCCAAATGCTGACTCAAAAATACATTTTGACTTTGATAGAATTGCTTTAAAAAAAAGTCCATGAAAGAAAAAGCTTCTTTTTCAATTAAAAAAATGGACTTGAAGTCAGTCTTCATAATTAGTTCTGAGGATGTCCCAGTGGTGATGATGTCGCCAGTTCATTTTTCCATTTTGTAATGTTAACCTTTGCAGTAATTTGCTGCTTTATCTGCTCTTGCTAAGCCTCAATATTTGAAAAACTTTATTGATATGTCAAATTCTCATCCATTAAGAGTTAGTCAGCTTGCTATCACTGTGACAAAATTTTACCTTTATTCAACTTAAAAGGGGGAAAGGTTTATTTTGACTCACAAATTTCAGAGGTTTCAGTCCATGGTTGCTTGGCCCTGTTGCTTTGGGCCTGTGGAGGATAGTACATCATGGAGGGAGCACACAGCAGAGGAGGCCTGTTCACTTCATGGCAGTCAGGAAACAAAGAAAGAGACATGGGGCCAGGATCCCAATATCCCGTTCAAGGGTACTCCCCCAGTGACCTAACTTTCTCCAACTAGGCCCCACCTCTTAAAACTTCAACTACCTTTCAATAGGGCTGAGGATCAAGCATTTAACACATGGGTTGTGGGGGGGGGACATTTCAGATCCAAACTATAGCACTGAACTAAGAAACTTCTTGGAAATATACATTGAATTGTGTATTAAATTTGGGCCATAATATGTACTATTTTATCAAGTAAAAATACATTCATAACTCAACTATCTTAAAGTTCAAAGTATGCCATATTTCCTTTCTCTATTTCAGTCTACCCTTGAAATAAAATATTTAAAAAAAATCTTCATTGAAGGACTGAGGCTGGGGCTCAGCAGTAGAGTGCTTGCCTGCCATGTGCAAGGCCCTGGGCTCAATCCCCAGCATCCAAAACAAAAACATCTTTGATGAGATATAACTTATATAACATGAAATCTACCCATTCAAAGGGTGCAATTCAGGGTGCTTTTTAATATACTTACAGAGTTTTGAAATCATCACCACAACCTAAGTTAAGTACATTTTCATCAGCCCCAAATGTACCCATTAACAGTTCCCTATTCCTTTCTACCTCCCAGACCCTAAAAAGCATTAGTCTACTTTCTGGCTCTATGAGTTTACCTGTTCCAAATATTTCACATACAAGGAATCTAATAGCACATAGTTTTTGACATGAAAAACCATCTGAACCACATCATCTTAGAATTGCATAATAGGAACCTACTAATTGTCAAATTAAGCCAAATCCAGACTTAGATGAGAAAAAAGACTAATCCAATAAGAAAAGCACTTTGATCTCAGAAATGTGCAAGATCCAAAAAGTCAAACAAAGTCTCTTTTTTTAAAGAGACGTTAAGGGGGAGTTGGACAAGCAGCAGCAGAGCATGGTCATTGAGTTTGAAAGATATGTGTTTTGCTGTGGGTAAGCTGGATTCTTGGGATAAGGTGCCAGGGGTCATTGTCTTCATTTCAGTGCTTGCTGAAGATGGGGGACAAGCCAGAGTTCAGAAGCCTATGAAAAGATAGAGACTGAAGAGGATAGGAAACAGGCAGTTGTGAAGTCTTGGTCACAGTAATTAACTCTAATGGACTTCCCAGCTTTCCCTACCTATGGTGTTGGGTGATCAAGCAAGCTTCCTTACCACTATAGTATATTGCCACCACACATTTTCAGACAGGAAGAACAAACCTTGTACTCAGGAACATAAAACAGAAGGCAAGCCTTGGGAGAGAAACGATTATAAAGAGAAAGAATCACACAAATCTAATTGGGGGGACTGAAAAACTTAATAGAATGAAAAAGGTCATGATGAGTTTTGGTCAAATCATTAAGGTCTTTAATATGAGTTTGAGAAAATTTAGGTAGTACCAGTTCAAATGGTGGGTTTCTTATCAGACAGCTTTACATCTAAGAGTTTTCTTGGTTCTGTTTCCCTTAAGTTGCTTTCACACAAGTCTTTAGCTTTCCTTAAGAGAATCCATTAAGTGTGAGACCTTGAGTTCAAACCCCAGTATTTGAAAATTGAAAAAAGAGAAAGTCCTTAAGCTTAGGCTGGGGGTATGGTTCAAATGGTAGAGGGCCTTCCGAGCAAGTATGAGGACCTGAGTTCAAACTCTAGTATTGCCAAAGAAAGAAAGTCCATGAGCCACCATGAGACAGACAAGACTTGTTCTAAGCTCCAAAATTCATCACAAACTGAATTCATTATAAAACTCATTACAAAAATCATTCACTTTTTGTCAGAGTCCTACCCACAGATGACATTTAAGATTTTAAAAATAATTGTTTTGTAGTCAATAGGTTTGTTTCCTATAGACTTTCCTGTTCCTGACATTTTTTACTTTATTTAAAGGATAATTTTGAGGGGGGGGGAGAGGGAGGGGGCGGAGTGGGTGGTAAGGGAGGGGGTGGGGGCAGGGGGGAGAAATGAACCAAGCCTTGTATGCACATATGAATAATAATAAAAAAAAAAAGGATAATTAATTTACCAATGTTTTTGTCAGTTTCCTTTTTCTGGTTTTATTTCTGCTTTACTTGCTATTTCAGAATGAAGACCTGAAAGACTAGTATTTTTTCGATGACTGAATTTAAGGAATAGGCACTTGTTCTAATATAGTTACTCTAACCAGCCTAGACATTCTAATCCAAGCATTTTAAAAGAAAATCCTTCCGTGGGAAGAACTGGTTTTAAATTGAACTCCAGTGCCCCTTCTCACCTAATGAGTTATTTGGAGCAGCATCTCTGGTCGTTAGGCCCACATTATTCATCAGAAGCCGAAGATGATAGAAACAGAGCACTGCTACACCCTACGGAATTACCAATGGAAGCGTAGGTGTTCAGTGTGTCTGGGATGTAGAGATGACTCAGACACTGTGGGAGTTTCTTTGGCAGGTAATTTTATTTTCCCCATGGCTGAAGGTAATTACTGTGCTAAGGTTTTGTGCAAATATGACATTACAAAGCTTTGAAATTCAGGTTAAGCAGCCTTTCATTCTAAATAGAAGCCAGTCGTGGGGAGGGAGTATAACAGTCCAAAAATCTTTTTTTAATAAAGATATTACTGTAGCTTAACCCAATTTCTATTAAATAAAGCTAATAATTACTTTGCTTTTTATAACAGTTCATTGTGTGAGGAATACTCCTGCCTTTTTAGCTGAAAGACTGCATCAGTCTTTGAAGGTTGGTCTGGAAGTTTCCTATAAATTCTTACTGTCTCTTGAGGAGAAAATAATATTGCTTAGTATTGACAAACTGTCATATATCTTTCCACTCTGATGACTTCTCTTCTGTAGCTTAATTTGCCAGGACACTGATAGTGAGCACTCCAATCAATGTAGAGATAGGTACAGTGAAGTGCTGGCTAAATTCTTTTCCTCACTTTACAGTAAGGGGGGCAATAGAACTTGTTTTAGAATGTTAGAATGCCAAATCTCAAACTTAATCCTGAGATCTGGTGCCCTCTCAAGTGGCCATCCTTAAAATAAACCAAGCTGAGCCAGCAACCTTTACAGGCTATCGTAACCCTGTGTTTTCCTGTCTGTCTTCTCAGGGAGGATGGTGAGCTTCATGAATCATGCTGTTATCTGTCTTTGGGCTTAGGTCCTAGGACAGGGCTTGGCTCAGAGGAGACCCTTTCCTCAATTTCTTTACTGGGCATTTTTTTGTAGTTCCACATGAACCTTTAAAGTAAGGTGGTTACATGTCTGTAATCCCAGCTACTTAGGAGGCTGAGATAGGAGGATCATGGTTTGAGGCCAGCCCACATAAGTCAGCTCAAGACCTGTCTGAAAAGTAAACTAAAAAAGCAAGAAGGACTTGGGGCATGGCTCAAGTGGTAGAGTGCTTGTCTAGCAAATGTGAGGCCCTGAGTTCAATTCCCAATACTGCTCCCCCCCAAAAAATAAAACAGTAATGTCCAAGTTAATACTTCATCTCCCTCACCTCACGTCACCCCAGTCCTGCTCCTGCTCTTGTATTCAGCCATCTCAGTGGAGAGCCCCAACAGGTGAGGCATGCCATTGCTCTGTGGTCTTAATCACTATGCCTCAACACCGCAGCCTTCTTTCCATTCCCTGACAATACCAGGTCTGTTCCTATGTCCAAGTCTTAGCACTTGTTGTCCTCTCTGCCTGGTATGTTCCTCCTCCTCCTGGGGCTGGCTCCTTCTCTTCTTTTCAAATTTCAGCTCAAATGTTTCCTCCTGAAAGATCTCTCCCTGATTATGCTACATCAATTGGCTTCCTTCCCATTCCATCTCCCTGCTCTGTCTTCTTCACAGGTCTTACTAATATTTAAAGAATTAGTGTACTGTACTGTCTGTCTTTATCAATTAAAACATAAGCTGCACAAGGACAGAGATAGCATCTGTGTTGTTCACTGTCATGTGCACAGTGCCTGGCATGTAGTACGTTCAACAAACATTTGTCAGATGCATAAATAAACGGAGCCCACTTCCATCTAACTGCTCAGCTAGAAATTTCACACTCTTCCTCTCCATCGTATAGTCAAATGATACATCATTGTTTTGTCAATCCAGCTACTTAAGCATTTCTCAAATCTTCCCATTTTCTCTGTCCCTAAGTGCTATTTGAGCTCAGTGCATCCTTATCCATTTTCTTTATTACTGCAATCACCTCTGGGTGAGTCCCAAATCTTGTGAGCTTTGCGAGCTCCTGTTCTACCGACCTAACTAGGGGCCACTGGAGATGCAGGAAGGACAAAAGAAGACAAGCATGCAGAAAGTTGGGGGCAGGGGGCAGGTGTGGTGGGCGCTCAGATGGAGATGCACAACAGCCTCATTACTTCTTTTACTTTGCTTCTTTATTCTTTAAAACCTTACTTCTTTTCTATTCTTTAAAGTCTCTTTACCTAGACTCACACTGTCCCATGTTTTCCTTAATCTCTCTTAAAGTCTTGGCCCTCAGACTCTCGCAGACACACAACAGCCAGCAGCAGCAGGCAGCAACCAATCTCTGCAGTAGTGTTGGTCCCCTTGCAAGTCACCTGGCAGTAGCTCCCACCCCTCACAAGCAGCCAACCAATCAAATTCCCCCATCCTCCTTCAGCGAGTCTTTTATATATAGTGGTAAAGGAGGAGATGGAGTAACAATTCTTGGGGAGGGGTATGACATTGTAACAAAAGAAATGTGCTCTGTCTCTGACTGTAAACAACTTAGGAAAAGCAGCCATGCTGCATTTTGCTCTCACTCCCTCTGTGGCCATGTCAAACTCATCCTGCTGATTACCTGACACAGCTGTGCTTATGCCAAGTTCTCACAGGCTTCTCTCCACACCCAAAGACTCTAGTCTTCCTCCCTTACCTTCATTCTACTTCTGTTCTTTATATTGCAAAGTGATCTTCTGAAAACATAAATATGATCTGTTCTCAACCTTCTCATGTTTAATATGTTGCAATAGTTCTCCACATTTGGGAGCTGTTAACCACATTTCATGATTACCAAGGTCTGGCTTTTCCAGACACACTTCTTGCTATCCCTCATCATTTATGTAGCTAAGAATGTGACATTCTTTCTCTTTCTTGCCTTACACCTTCACACATGCATCATCCTCTATTGGAACATTCTCTCCCCCCATATGAACCCATTCTTCCTTCCTGTAGTTGATTTTTCTTTCTTTTTTTTTGAAATAGGGATTTGTTATATAGCCTAGGCTAGTCTTGAACTTGAAAGTCTTCTGCCTCACCCTCCCAAGTGCTATGGTTGTAGGTGTGTGCCACCATGCTTATAGCTCCCCTGCTTGATTATTTAGGCCTTGGGGAACATGTCACCTCCTAATCCTCAGTCTTTCTTAGGACCTCCTGCTAATATGTTTCCATTGTACCCAATATTTCCCATATATCAGATTGTTTTGCAGTGGCCTGTTTTTCTTGCCCGTATCCTTTAAAGAATTGGTAACTCATTGGGGACATCTTTATCTCTGTTTTTCAGCATTATGGCTTGGTAGTGGCACAGAGTAGGGGCTCAACAAGTATTTCTCATATAAATTAATGATGGGGTTTGATGGAAAATGAATGAGGAAGAATCACTATGGTTGAATATTTTGTGCATCATTATCTATATCTTATAAATAAAGATCTATATGTCATTTTGTGACCAATGAGATTCACGTTGTGATCACCTGCATTTCTCTCCAGGGTGCTGGAACTGATGAATTTACTCTGAACCGAATCATGGTTTCCAGGTCAGAAATTGACCTTTTGGACATTCGACACGAATTCAAGAAGCATTGTGGCTATTCCCTGTATTCAGCAATTAAAGTAAGTTAAGTCCCCTTTCAAAAACAGCAAAACCTACTATTCCCTTCTCTACTCATCCTCTTTCCTTTGTATTCCTTAAAACATAAGACATATATGACTTATATTTTTCTCCTTGTCAATGTGTTTTCTGAGTTGAAAATAGCTACAGCAAAATATCCCTTAAAGATAGTGACTATTTTTTAGTTCTAAAATCCCAGGCAAATAATTGACACTCAACTTTTCTTTTTTAAGCTTATTGGCCATGAATCTTTTTCTTTTACAAAATGCATGTGTGAATTGTTTGCCTATCATTTATATTTCAGTGTTTTTATTTCAGTGTTTATGAGCTTGTAAAGAAAGAAAAATACATACTTTAAATTTCCTTTTTGCGGACTGGGACTATAACTCAGTGGTAGAATGCTTGCCTAGGATGTGTAAGGCCCTAGGTTTGATCCCTCCCCCCAAACAATAATAATAATAATAATAAACTTCTTTGTCAGACATAAATGTTAGCATGGTTCTACAGCTTCAGTTTTTTTCAATTTGGTATATAGTGTTACGTGCTGGTGTCAAGGGTCCTTGCTTTCACAGGCCAGAGAACTGGCGCAAGAGGCAGCTGAATGATGAGCCAAAGCTGGTGTATAAAGTAGGATTTATTAGAGAGAAAGAAAGGCTACAGCTAGAGAAGAGCAGCGGAGCCCAGAAGCTGGTGGCTTGCTGCACAGGTGAAGGCTGGGGTTTTTATGGACATTTTAACTCTGGGTTAGGTGGGTTTTTCTCATTGGCCATGGATTCGCGGGCTTTCTCAGGTGAACTGGTTTGGTTTGCACCTTTACTGGGGGAAGGGAAACAATCTTGAGAGCATTTTGCTCATCAGCCCTGTGGCAGATCTATCAGACCCTGAATCTCTTCTTTAGGATGCAGAATTATAGTTTACCACTCCCTCTCAGGGTGCAAGAATGCAGGCCTCTAACTCCTCAAGATGCAGGAATGCCCTCCATGGGGGGTGGGATACTTACTCATCTGCCTTAGGTTATCAGACTCAACAAATCCCCACTCTGAGATAAGCACCCAACTGCTGTTGGGGAGAGGGGCGATGACTCATCTAGCTGCTTCGTGCTGACAATGGGGTGACAGGGTGGGGGTTGGGGGGAAGGGTATTTGTCTCAGGGGTTGACGTGTAGTCTCCAGGGGCCCCCAGTAGAATGGGATGGAGGACTCATGTAAGCAGAGGTGAGTATTCCTTGACCAAGAGCTAGAGTTTGATTCGTTGGACTTGTTGAGATATAAATCTGAAGAGAGCATTTATTATACAAGACCAAAATAGTAATATTCGTAGGAGCGGAAAAAGTGGTCTGGCAAGGGCTGCATATCTAGGGATCCAGATTCTGCAAAATCCTGTAACTCCCAAGAAAGCTCTAGGCTGCTTTATGGTCTGGGGGAGTGGGAAACAGAGGATTGGGTTGATTCCCTCATGACTCAGGGAGTGAGTCTGTCCCTTTAAGACCACACCTAGGTAGGTGACCTGAGGGAGGCATAATTGAGCCTTCTCCTTAGAGACTTTGTATCCCGGGAGGCCAGGAAGTTTTAAAAAGGACTCAGTCACCCTGCAGATGAGGGGCTCTGTGGCTCTGCACAGATGTCATCAACATATTGAAGAAGGGTGGCCTCTGAGTAGTGCCAACCTAATAAGTCTCTGGTTAGGACTTGTCCAAAAAGATGAGGGCTGTTTCTAAACCCTTGTGGTAAAACTGTCCAGGTTAGTTGCTGTGAAGGGTTTGTGGGATCTTCAAAGGTAAACAGGTTAAATGTAACACTTTTGGATAAAAGAGAGCTTTAGCTCATCATTTTACATAAACTGACACTTTTAACTTTGTAAACGTTTGTGCCATATTTAGATAAAGTATAGACACCACACTGTTATAAGGTGGTCATTTAAGACACATGAGCAAATATGTAAATGAACTCTGATTTAGTAGTACTTAAAGCTTGACAAGATCAACAGAAAACGGATAAAATCTTTCCCTATAACAGTTTTCTGCAGATGTTACTCAGAGCAGAACAATATTAAGATAGCCTTGTTATTTTGTGGACACAGAATTAGATTTTAGTTTGACATGACCCTAAAAAATCTTTTAGGCAACTCTTATAGTCAACTTTAATTTTATCACACACTGAAGTTTTTTTTATACACTTTTAAGACTTACTCAGAACCTTTATATAATATTCTAAACCCTCTTATGGTTTATCCTTATCCTTCTTCTTCTCCATATTTGGAACAATCTTTAGGACAAACCCTTTTATACAAAATCCTTTCTCACTGGCAGAATGGCTCAAGTGGAAAGAGTACCTGCCTAGCAAGTGTGAGACCCTGAGTTCAAGCCTCAGTGCTGCCAAAACAAAACAAAATCCTTTCTCATATAAAAACATTTCTTATTTCCTTTAATCTTTCCCCCAAAATATACACTCAACACCTATGTATATCCTTTCTACTCATTCACTTTGTAACTTGTATTTTAAACTAACTTCCATAAGAATTTTAAATTTAAATTTAAATAAAATAGTTTTTTCATGTAGCCTAATTTTAATTATATAGACCCATATAGAAAGGCAATTTTAAACTGTTTTTATACAATAGGTAATCTATAAAGACACCATTTGTTAATAGATCTAATTATAAAAGAATTGAATGTAAATTACTTATGATGAAATGAAACAGACTAAGGTCACTGTCCATAAAATAATGCCTATAATTTAGTTAGACCTGATTGACATAACCTTTAAAAAACTGGTTTTTCTTAAAAGTAGCAACAGAAGAAGTGGGGGAAGAGAAGAGAACAGAAACCTTGTATTTTTTACATTAATTTTATAATAAGAATCATCCTAAAAATGTTTAAGTATATGCATATGTAAAAGTTTTAAATTAGTCATGCCATAAATGTCAATTTAAACATGCATAGATTCAAGAGCTCAAGAACATGTAAAAATTAACTAAGTGGCCACAAGTACATTGATTAGTTATTTTTTAAAAAACTTTTAGGAGCAGATTGAGAGGTGTCCCATTCTGTTCTTTTAGGACTCATTTTGGGTGGATTGATAGCTGAACAAAGAGTCAATTTTAGGAATAGTGTTTTGAGTCAGTCTCAGTTTTTAATAAGACTGTTATCATAGCTATTAGATTTTTTTGTCTCTAATAAATTAATCATATCAGAGACATACAACTTACACAATGAAACACAAAACAATTACATTAATTTTAAGTGTATTCTTGGACATTGAAAACTTTAGATTTAAGAATGCAAAAGAAAGTGTCTTTTAAACTAGTACAGAGTAATATTGGGCTTATGGGGGTATTTGAGCCAAAAGAGTATAGGGATTGGGAATGACTGCTTCATTAATCAGCTGGAGGTCTTGAACCAATCTCCATTTGTTTGGCCCCTTGCAGATAGCAAGAATAGGAGTATTATCGGGGCTGGAGCAACTAATTAGTAACCCTTGGGTTTTTTTTGTTTTTTTTTTTTAAGGAATTTATGATAGGTAAAAGGCCTCATCTTCTCTCAGGCTTGAAGGGATATTGTTTTTGGGTGGGGAAACTGTGAAGGATCATTGAGCTCTCTTTGAATAGGGAAGGCTGTCCTGGCTCACCCTACAGTCACCCCATCAGTCCACACTGTGGGATCTACTTGCTCCTGAAGAAGGGGCAGCAGAGATAGCTGCCTGAGGGGAGGAGAATTTGAGCTTTTAGTTGAGATAGTAAATCCCATCCCAGCAGAGACTCTGGAGTTTCAGGAACTATGTGGAGTGACAGAAGTGGAGGTCTACCCAAGAGCAGGCCAGAGGCCAAGTAAAATAGTGCTCCAGGGGCTGGCCAGATATGCCCTGAATGATAACCTTGTTATTGGACCAGGGACCAGGAGAGAATGGTAAGACAGAGAAAAGGGCTCCACTGTCTTGGAGGAAGATGACCTTTCACTTCTCTACCATTATGGCTACCTGAGGCTCCTCAACATTGATGCCAAGGAGTGGAGCATGGACAGGAGGCCAGGACCCATCAATCCATAGGAAGTGGCACCTCACCTTCCATACGGAGGCAGGGGCATTTAGACCTCCAGTGGTTACCTTTGCAGAGAGGGCAGGGTCCTGGTTGGAAGTGGGGCTGTCTCATGGACTGTCCCCCTTTAGTACCCTCCTGTCCACTATCGTAGCAAGTTCGGGATGCAGGCCCCAGTTGTGTGGGGCCCTCTCTAAGAACAGCAATGAGGCCATGATGTCTCTTATCTTTTTCTCTCCTCTTAGTAAGGTCCTGGTTATAGTTTACAGACATGGCTAGCTATATTAGTTGGTCAAACAATTTTTCTCCTTCAGCCACAAACTTTGAGTTTTTTACAAATATCTGGGGCTGACTGAGTTAGAAATTTATGTTTGAGGAGAACCTCTCCCACCTGTGACTTTGAATCCACTGTGGTGTGCTTTCTGATAGTGTCCTTAAGATGCTGTAGAAAGGTAAGGGGGTTTTCTTCAGGACCTTGCTGTACTACAGTCACCTGGGAATAGTTTAGAGGTTTGACTTTGGCCCTTTTTAGCCTTTCCACTATGAGATGGATGAAGTGGCATTGACGCCACTCATCTTCCTCACTATTTTGATTCCAGTGTGGATCTGCCAAGGGGACTGCCTGTGCCCCTGTGGGTATAGGCACATTTATTTCCTCATTTTCAGGTGCCACAGGTATTGGGGTTCATTGTAAATGGCAATCATTTCCAACCTGAGTGATCTGGGCCAGAACTCATTGCTTTTCTAATGAGGAAAGAGTCTGGTCTAGTAGAAGCATAGTATCCTTTCATGTCAATTTAGAGCTTTGGATCACAGAGATAAAGCTTGGATGTATGATCTGGGGCATCAGTATAGCTGCCCAGATTCTTTTTTAATCTCCCTTAGATCTGATAACTGGAAGGGGACATAGACTCGCCTTCTTCCTACCATTGCCTGTTGAAGGGGGAAGCACCCATTAGGAGGTTCTGAA